ATTAAAGACAATTCATTAGTACCTAATGTAGTGTTATAATAAACAATCAAAACATAAATCAGTTTCATGAGATCAGGACAGTTTCATGGAGGACATTAAATGAGGGGACTAAAGTATTTGAAGGAATAAGATATGAGGAAATAAATGGGAATATTAGTCCAGCAAAGGAGAACCTGACAGCTGAAAACAGAGATCAAAAAAAGTCAGATATTTAACCCTGTGCACCAACACACAGCAAATACGATGTGCTTTCAGCATTAAACTGAGCAGAAACGTCTTTCTTGCAAGTAGCTCCCCTGCTTCTACTGTTTTGAGATTTCTTGATTTTATAAATTAATCCACTGAATTATAAATACATGTGCACTGTAGAAAGTTGAAGGAAAAAATAAAAAACAAAACTAAAAATAACCCACTGCTCAGAGAAATTAAAATAATCCCACTGCTCAGAGATAATCAAGTGTTAATATTTTGGTTTTCATCCTTTTAAAAAATACATATACTTACACACCAAACAAAATTTTAGATATTACTTACATATGTTTTATAAAGTTATATATATTTTTATCATTAATACTGACTAATGTTAATTAAATACAGTATTATGGAAGTTGAAAGATTGATCTAAATGCTGAAATAGGGCCAGGTAAGATGGCTCGCGCCTTTAATCCCAACACTTTGGGAGGTCGAAGAAGGTGGATCACAAAGTCAGGAGTTCAAGAGCAGTCTGGCCAAGATGGTGAAACTCCGTCTCTACTAAAAATACAAAAATTAGCCGGGTGTGGTGGCTTGTGCCTGTAGTCCCAGCTACTTGAGAGGCTGAGGCGCAGAGCTGCTTGAACCCAGGAGGGGGCGATTTCAGTCAGCCAAGATAGTGCCACTGCACTCTGGCCTGGGTGACAGGAGGATTCAGTCTCAAAATAATAATAATAATAAATAAATGCTAAAATAATCATCCTTAATAACAGCAAAAACAAAAAAAAAAAACAGAAAACAAATGCTTGTTAAGAGGCTATTAAATAAAAGCATACCCTGGACAGAATATTAATCTGTTAGCCATTTTTTTTTGTATTTTCTTAGACTAAATTCTTAGAAATGGAATGGCTATTGCGAAGTATACATATTTTATAAGCTTTTGTTACATATTTTGCTCTTTAAAATTCATATTAAATTACACTTTCTAGTAAGGTATGAGCTCATTTGTCCATACCCTCGCCATAAGTGGCTTATTTGTAATCTATGCCAATTTAAACAAACAGTATCTCACTGATTTGCATTTCTGCAAGTACTGCTAGTGAAGTTCAAAGTTTTTTCATGTTTCCTGCTCCTCTTTTTATAAATTACCAGTTTGCCCATTTTTTTCCATGGGGGTGAGGGGTCCTCTTGGGTTGTTGCTGTTCACATGCCCTCTTTTTACAGTAAGGAAAGTACATTTGCTTGTAAGTTACATTATTTTTCTGTTTGCCATTTACCTATTAATTCTGTTTATGGAATTTTAACAGAGAAGTTGTATTATTCTAAATAAAATCTTTTCCTTTATAGTTCCTATATCTAGGTCTTCATCTTGAGATTACCATGTTGCTGTTTTTTGGTTTTTAAATTTTTTCTTGAAAAAAATATTTTAAAAGCACCCAAGTTCACCCCCTAAAATGACAGCCATTTTTACTACTTTAAATATCTTCATTAGTACATACACACTTTATTTTAAATGTATTTTAAAATACATTTAAAATACACAGTGTATTTTAAATGGCTGCATCCATTTCATACAATCTCTTTTCCAAAGTATTTTCTGACACAGGCCTTTAAAAAACATTGCAAGCTTGTTAGATTTGAACTGTCTTGAATGGTTTTACAAATTTTTGCAAGGCCAATGAGTCATAACATCACACCCAATTTAACAATAGCCCCAAAGTTCCAGAACTGTTCATGTCTATGCTATCAGTGCCCAATTACTCTCCCACAATGTTACAAAAAGACCAGGAAGAATAAGCTCATTCTTGGTAGCAGATCACAGTTCTGCATAATGAATTCTGCCATAATGATCAGATATCAGTCTTTAAAGCTTTTCATTTTAGTCTCTTCTAGTCTTCTTCCACCTTTTATAAACCAGTCAAACCCTCAGGGAACATTTGGTTAAAAGCTTGAGCTCTGGAGTTAGCCAGGCTTAACCACCTTCCTAGCCCTGACCTTCACCGCTCAAAGTCTCAGCTCCTTCACCTGTATTCTGTAAAGTGGGTTAAACCATAGTGACTACACTTCAGTGGGCACTGTAAGGATTTCCAGTGGAAGGCTGTACGTGAATGTTGACGCATGCAGTACGCTAGTCACTGGGGACAGATGCTATCACAGCCTCCCTGTCCCAAAGGAGGGCAGTTTGGTGGGAGAAACCACCAAGTACAATCAAAAGGTTAAATATTGTGATAGTGACACAGGCAGGACACCACGGGAACCCAGGGAAGGCTCCCTGAGCCGTCAGTGAAAGAAAAGGCAAAGAGTCACATCTTGAATGGAACTGCAACAGCACTGAAGCGTGCAGGGAACACTAGGAAGGGCAGAACAGTGCTTACTTGGTCCATGTTTCCCAAGGGAAAAAATATACATCAAACTTAGGCTTCACAACCCTGCTTTTCAAACATGAATACAATACTTGATGTTCTTTGAGACCGTTTTTCCCAAAATGCTGTTAATGTTCAAAGCTGTGGCATTCCCATGGAATCCACATACTTTGAGGGCCTAAGGAAATCAACAATGTCAATTAAAAAACCATCTCATTTCACAAATGAGCAAATACTGGCCCTGCAAAGGTAAGCTTTAACTAGACTCAAGTCCTCTCTCCCAAATCAAGACGCTCTATACCTAAGCAAAAATAAATGACTACATCTCTCCATCACAGAATTTTTAGAAGTGAAATACCTCCATGCATGAATAAAAAACTTAAGTCATTAAATGTTATCATCCTGTTTATAGTGTGCTTACTCAATGTTCATTTTATAAACAAGAAACTTCTATAAAGAGGAAATTATGTCCTCGGCAAACACAAGACTTTTACCCAAATTGGATCTACTTCCCATTTAATGTTCATTTCTTCATTTGCAAAGCAAACACACGGATAAACTCCCAGATATTTTTAAAAAGCAAGACAAACTTAGAATTGGCCCTTCAAATGGTTAACTCTTTTCTCCAGACATACCTAAAACAAGTTCAAAATGAACCTGACAGTCCCCCAAAGACACTTTATTCCAGAGTGACTCAAGGTCATGGCTTTGGGACCTACAAAGGGCTGAAACAGCAAAACAAAACAAACCAAAACACCTTCATAAGTTCTTATGGTCCTAATGTTTTTAATTTGAAGAATGGCAAGTAACAACTCCTCAATTTAAAGTACATTCATTTTAATTTTCCATGCTGAAAGACAGACACAATGCCTCTGGGTATACTAGGAATGATATTCTGATGAAAGGGCCTCAGTGACCCAGGGATGGTTCCTCCCACAGCAACTTCCTATCCCACTTCAGCAGAACCAAGGGGCTGGCCTCACCTTTCCAACAAGGAGACGCCTCAACTACCAAACTGCTTCATTTCAAAGGCAAAGCTGGATACTCAACCGGGGGTGGGAGGACCTGATCCTGATCGCGTTTGATTGTGTTTCCAAAAAAAGTAAAAAAAAATTCCGCATCTTAAAACTAGTTTTAATGGGAAAGAAAGCTAAAGTTTCACAACTTGTTCTCTCTTGGCACTTTCCTGGACTTCACAGGTATAGAAAACCTGGGCATTTTTCTGTTGGGGCCCTGTACTAGATACTGGGGGGCTGTGGGGAGGTGCGAAGTGGAGAAATGGGAAGGGAGAGTGGCAAAGGAGAGATGAGAGAATCGATTTTACTTAAGTGTATAATAAAGCTTGCATTCTTAACCGGCTTAAGTGCAACGACTGTGTTTTCTGCAGCCAACAATCAGGGCATGTTTTCAAACACTAAGTTAGAATTATTCCAGAAAACTCACTCATTCAAAAATAAGCAATTGAGGCACCACCATAACCAAGTTGTTACTCTGGAGACGCAAAAATAAACAGGGAATATCCCCTGCGCTGAAGGAATTCAGAATCGGAAATGTATGGGAAATAAGGCTGTATTGTAGTTAATTACAGCTAGAAGATAACATTCAGTAAGTGGCAAGAGTCTAATGAACTATAATATCTAAGGAAACCATGCAGAATCAGCTCAGGCATGCGTGTCTGTCTTCTGATGTGGTACACACATTGGGAGTGGGGGGTGGGGAAGGACCTGAGCATGTGGCTCTCAAGGAAGGAAGCTTTTACAAATTGGTGAAAAACCCTAGCATATTTAAAGTTGGTTTGTTGTCTGACAAAACAGTTTTTAAAAGATGAAGCCAATGAGGAAAGAAGTTTAACATATTTAGAAAGCAATTCAGCCATCCCTCTCAAGCTTAAGGAACACTCTCCTGAAACCTCCAAAAATGGGCATAATAGAGTTAAAGCGAGCCAGTCTTGTGTTTGCATGCTTTGGAATTTGAAATGCAATGCAACTATTTCGACTCACCATGGAAAACAACAAATAGAACCTTGAAGTAAAACATTTTCCAATATCCAAAAACCTCCTTTAAACAAAGAAAAATCTCATCGCCAAATATTGTTTTCAAACAAAATGACTGGTTTTACATTTTAAATGTCATTACATATTTTACTACATAATCCACTCTCCAGGATTTCAAAAAACTGGGTACATTTTCGGGTGCACCATGAAATGAAGTGTTAAACTTAAAACTGCACACACTTCCGCGAGGCGTTAGGTCCTAGAAGCTCCTGGCTTGAAGTAAAAAAGGAATCTAGTTTCTCTTCTGCCGCTTCGTTAAGATTATTCCAAAAAGTGTGATCGTTTACTCCACTCAGAACTTTTGACGATTTTAATGCTACTACAGGAAAGAGCAATTACACTGAGCAAATAAATATTTAAGAAGACTGCAATTCAGCATTTGTGCACTTACCACGAACGCCTACTACGAACCAGAAGCAACCGAGAGTGACCCAGTCGGAAAAGAGAATCCTCTTTTTGGCAAAGCCAGCCAGGCAGAAAACCTTAACTTTGGGGATTCATTTCAAGCAGTGTCTACAAGCATTCCTCTCTTTCTTAATTATCTTACGTCTGCGCTACACAATATTGCACCGGTGGCAGAAACAGGGGTCTTTCAGATCTTGGGGCAAAAATCGCACGAACCCCGAGCCTGGGGACCCCAAGTCCCCGCAGCTTGCGGGCGCCCGGTTACCTCCAGGGTCATGGCGCGCGCTCCCGTTGGGGCCGGGGGCGCGCCGAGGCCGCGGCGCAGGGCCCGGCCAGACTCGCGAGCGCTAGGCGGGCGCCGTGGGGCTCCGTTCGGTTTTGCCGCCGGGCTCCCATCTCTGAGCGCCAGCCCAGCCCGCTCCCCGAGGACAACTGGGCAAAAGGACGGCTGTTAGCCAATAATAGCGTCCTGCACGGTCGCAATAATGCAGGCGGGGAACCCGAGAGCCGCGGGCAGGGAACCGGAAAGCGAGAGAGCCCGGCTTGGCGGCTGGTTGCGCGCGCGAGCCCGGGGCTCACAGGAGGGCACGCGTCGGCCGGAAAGCGGCGCCGAGGAGAAGCGTGGTCGTGAGGGCGAGAAGGGGCAAGGGCATGGGGTCCCGGTGTCCCGCGGAGATCGCCTCACGAGGCGAGGCGCGAACGCCCAAGTCGCCCGGGGCCATACGCCGGCCCAGCCTCCGCGGACCCAGCCCGGTCCCGACGGGGAAAGGGGCCGGCGCCACCAGGCCGCCGCCTCTGGGCGCGATGAATCGGGCTTTTTCCCAGTGCGTAGTCCGGGCCTGGCCGCCCCGGCCCGTCCGGGGTGACTCAGGGCCCAGCCCCGCTCGCTCCCCTGCCGCCCCCGGCGTCCTCCGCCCACGAGCCCCCGGGCCCGGCCGCCATTCTGCCCGGCCGCGTTTCGGCGGCTCAGGCCTCGCCCGGCGCCTGGGCTCGGCAACCGCGGCCCGAGTCACTGCGACACCGCGGCTCGGGGCCGGGCCTGCGCCGCCGCCACCACCTCCTTTCGGCCCTGCGGCGGCCGACACTCACCCGCATCTCCGTAGTGCCCAAAAGGCTCCCGCGACGCCTCCGCCTGGTCGCTGGGCCTGGGCCCCGGCGAAAGCCCCGTCCCGCCAAGGTCTGGCTGCGTCCCTCAGCCACCCGGGCTGCCCCGCCTGGAGCTGCGTGCGACACGGAGCCCGCCTCCTCCTCCTCCCCTGCCCGCCCGGCCCTCCTCCTCCCGCCGCCGCCGCCGCCGCCTGCACCACGCAACCTCCGCCCTCTCGCCTTCTCTCCACGGCTCCCCGCCCTCCCGGCCTCACCGGCTCCGGCGACCGCGGGGGAGAAGCTGTTGGGGGAGGGCCGGAACGCACCGCCATCGGCGTCCGGGGCGGGGGAGCCGGGAAACCGTCGTCGCCATCGCCCCGCCAGCCCGAGACGCGGGAGGGGCCCGGAAAGCTCCCGCCCGCCCGCCGCCCCGGGGGCGCCCCTTCTGTGGCCGTGGCCCCCGCTCACGTGGGGCTCTTTACCTGCGAGCCCACGGCCCCTGCCCCCTGACACCCGAGCCATCCCCGACCCGGCGCGCTGGATCCTCCGCCAGGTTTTACAGCCTCCCTCGCCTTGGGGCCGCCGCGGAGGACCCGTTCCCGCCACTTCGGACCTCGCCAGCGAGAATGAGCTGCTTGGGTCGGGGACACCACCAGCCTCTGAAGAAAGGGCCCGAAGCACCCCAAAGGAGAGGGGCTCGCAGTCCTCCTGCCCCTCCCCTGTGCGCACAACCCCCGTCCCCCGCTGGCCTGGAACTCGACTCCCCACTTTTGTCGACCGGGACTGGGGGATGCACCACAGATCAGAAAGTCAGAGGTGGCCAGGTGCCTCCCAGAATCGGCGCGGACTTCCAAGGAACGTGCAGCTGATTCTCGACCCCCCCCTTAACACCTGCAGGCCTTAGGATTTGGCTCCAGACACATTTTATCTATGTGTCTCTTTTTAAAAATCACTTCTAAGGTCAAACCTAACTAGGCTTTCCCTCTTCAGACTCTTTCACTAACTGCTGTTTGGCAGATTTTGACATTTACTCTACCCTTGGTCTTTGGAAGGACAAATCAAAACTAGAAGGCTTTGATTACATATAGGGATGGCATGAGGCATGATGTAAAATAGTATTTTCACGTGTAGTTCGAAGTCATCTCATTTGAAATTAACTGTCATAATTGGCTATTTGGAATATTCACACTAAATACTAATTTTGGCAGCACAAATAGCCACCTGCTGCTATGGTGACGGGCTGGAGGAAGCGTGGTGGCCCCCCCGCACCTAGTGAGGGATGGCTGATTAATAGCACGGCTCACAACGTCACCGAGCGGCTCATTCCACGAACAACCCCCGGGGGATTTCGAATTCTGTCATCTGGGCAAAAGATGTGATGAGTGTAATTTTGTTTCCTCCAAACTAAAATGCTACACAGATTCCAGTACCACTCGGGACAGAAGGCCTCAGTCAGAGCAGAGGGCTGTCCCCAGAGTCCACAGTTTACTGCATAACATGGGTTTGTCTCAGAAGAAACATCCCACTGGTCTATGTGATCCCCTCTATCGAAATGTCTTGGCCGGGCGCGGTGGCTCATGCCTGTAATCCCGGCACTTTGGGAGGCCAAGGTGGGCGAATCACGTAGGTCAGGAGTTCGAGACCAGCCTGGCCAACATGGTGACCCCCCCCCCCCAGTTTCTACTAAAGATAAAAAAAAATTAGCCAGGTGTGGTGGCAGACACCTGTAGTCCCAGCTATTTGGGAGGCTGAGGCAGGAGAATTGCTTAAACCTGGGAGGCAGAGGTTGCAGTGAGCCGAGATCATGCCATTGCACTCCAGCCTGGGCAACAGGGCAAGACTGTCTCAAAAAAAAAAATGTATTTTGTCTACATCTAAGTATCTGTAATAGTAATGCATTTGTCACTTAGGTATGTCATAATCCTTTCATTTGTGCAGGGTGTTGGGGTGGGAAATATTCTTGGCCTCCTATTCTGTGACTTCCTCCAGCTAATAGAAAGGCTGAGTGGGTCAGCCTTCCCTTTATTGTATGTTTCCTTTGCCCTCTGTTTTTTCTTAATAGGAGTATTTGGTTCACCTACACCACCCTCCCTCTTCTCACTGCCTCCGAGATTCCTGGTTCTTAACTCCTTTCTATTCTTTACCCTCACCTGCCTACACGATCATTCTTAGCAGCAAATTTATTCCATTGACTTTTATGTCCACTTAACAACCAGATTTGCATTTACTTTGGGCAGATAACCTTGCCTCCTGCCTAACAGGTCAAGGCCACCTGCTGCTCCCTTTCTACTTTAAAACCTCCTTCCTCCACCTTTCTCCCCCAGCTCAGCAAAATCGATGTCCCTCTCAGATGACCCAAAGTTTGGAGGGATAATTAATTTGATGGATGTCAGAATCAAAATTCAAAATAGTCTGAACAGACTAGAACATTAGGCCAAAAGCAGTGACATAAAATACAACTTTCAACTCGACAATATGATGTACTAGTTGGAAAAGCCCAAGTTTTAGATTTTAGTGGGCTTTGGTTTATATTCAGTTACTCAAATTTGAGTCATATCCAGTAACTCAAATTACTAATTTTTGCTCTAGTTAAGTCAACTGTTAATTTGGGATAAAAATACCTACATCATAAGAGTGTAAAGAGTAATTTCTTCATAATTCGTGGAACATTCACCAGCCATTAGTCCCCCCTCATCTTCCACAAAGTGAATGTGCCTGTTGCCATTCATAGCACATTCTTTAATTCATGCAGACCTGGAAACAAACTCAAAATCCTGGCCCATTCACCTTGTATCCCAGAGCTGTCACCATCCTAGAGAAATCCTTTGCCTGTTTTGAGTCAGTCATTATCATCATACCCATTTTTCATTTAAAAAAAACTTAAGGCTCAGAGATGTTAGGCAATTTGCGTGAAATCGCTCAGCCTGATCAGTGCATAATGTGACCCGGTGACTCACTTCTGTATATATCCACTCCTTTACTAAGATATTCTCCCACACTTTTGTTGGTTCTTTAACCTTCTAAATGCTCTTCCTGGTTCTTACCTCTTCTTTATCCTTCCGCTTGTGTCATGACTGATGGCAGATTATTCCTTGTAAATTGATACCTTCATCATTATAATTTTGTCCTTCCAAACTTCAGTAGTTCCATATTGTGTGTAGGGTTCAATCCAAATTTGGACCTGGCACTTAAGGTTTACCATATCTTGTCCTAACTTGCTTTTCCAAATTTATTTCCTGCTACTTCCCAAAAGGAACTCTCAATGCCATTCAGTTGTTCCCCTAACAGGTACTGTTCCCCCTTCTCTCCTCCAACTCCAAATCATGCTCACTTTTCTTTTTTTTTTTTTTTCATGCTCACTTTTCAAGATCCAGCTCACACCCCCCTCCCAGGAAGCCCGCCACCTTACACCTTCTACTCAAGCTTTGTGACCTCTCCCTGATTGCCTTCTCACATGTGCCTTTAAACTAGGTGGTCTGTGCTGTGGGGTCAGAGACAATTTCGTAATGTTCATCTGCCCCCTCAGCACTGTGCCTGAAGAACGCTGAAGCGGATTCCGAGCAAATTTGCTTACTACTGAAATGAAAGGGTATGGTGTTACTTGACTAACTATATGAACGATTATTTCTAAGACACAGGTAAGTAACTAGCCATCCAGTGCAAAGTGAATTAACAGGATGGTTCTCAAACCTGGTTTTGCTTCAGAATCACCCGGGGACTTAACTTCTAATTCCAAGGGCCCCATTCCAGATCTACTGAATCAAAAGTAGCTGGCTGGGAAGTGGCAGGGAGGGAACTTGAAACTGCCAGAGTTTCTTTCCTGGCACCGCTACTTGTTATCTGGGGAACTTTGAGCAAGTTAACCTCTTTGTGCCTCAGGTTCTTCATCGGTGACATGGGGATTATAATAATAATAGCTCAGCCATGTGTAGTGGCTCACACCTGTAATCCCAGCACTTTGGGAGGCCAAGGCAGGTGGATCACTTGGGATCAGGAGTTTGAGACCAGCCTGGCCAACAAAGTGAAACCCTGTCTCTACAAAATATACAAAAATTAGCCTGGTGTGGTGGCATGCCTATAATCCCAGCTACTCAGGAGGCTGAGGCAAGAGAATCATTTGAACCCAGGAGGCAAAGGTTGCAGTGAGCTAAGATTGCACCACTGCACTCCAGCCTAGGTGACAGAATGAGACTCTGTCTCAAAAAATAAATAAATTAATAATAATAGTATCTCATATAAGGTTGTTGTAAGTTAAATCCTTAATAAATATTACCTATGCTGACAGTGATAATTTTTAAAGTAAACCTTATTTAATCCAAATCATGAAATATACATTATTTGTTATTAAAAAAAAAAACTAGTTCTGTTTACAAAAGCAGCTACAAATATGCTATAACTATGCAGAGTAATTAAACTAGATTAGTGTTCAAAGGAACCAGGAAAGAGATGAAGTAATTTAATGATTTTTTTTCTACCTTACCTCAGAATAAGATTTTTTTTTCTTTTTTTTGAGACAGAGTTTCACTCTTGCCCAGGCTAGAGTGCAATGGCTTGATTTTGGCTCACTGCAAACTTCAACTCCCAGGTTCAAGTGATTCTCCTGCCTCCTGAGTAGCTGGGACTACAGGCGTGTGCCACCATAACCAGGTAATTTCTTAATTTTTTTGGTTCTAGAGATGAAGTCTCACTTTGTTTCCCAGGCTGTTCTTCGATTCCTGGGCTCAATCGATCCTCCCACCGCAGCCTCCCAAAGTTCTGAGATTACAGGCATGAGCCGTCGTACCTGGCCTAATCCCCTGCTTTGGTTTTACTAGAAAGGATTTTGTAGCTAATTTTGGTCCATCAAATGCCAAATAAACAAGATTTTAGTAATAGAGGTAACTAGATGTAAAATATGATGCAGAAATTTACTTACAAAAGTCACAGCTGTCTGAACGGGAAATACAGTATTGGTAGACCTCATCTTCTCAACTCATGACTTGTAATTTGCCTATCTAAACAAATACACAACAGCCTTGTTTTTATTGCCTGCTATTCCACCTAAGATTTTTTTTTTTTTTTTTTTTTTTTTGAGACTGAGTTTCTCTCTTGTTACCCAGGCTGGAGTGCAATGGCATGATCTCGGCTCACCGCAACCTCCACCTTCTGGGTTCAGGCAACTGAACCTCCTGCCTCAGCCTCCTGAGTAGCTGGGATTACAGGCGCGCACCACCATGCTCAGCTAATTTTTTTTGTATTTTTAGTAGAGACGGAGTTTCACCATGTTGGTCTCAATCTCTTGACCTCGTGATCCACCCGGCTCGGCCTCCCAAAGTGCTGGGATTACAGACTTGAGCCACTGCCCCCACCTGAGATTCTTGGGTATCATCTCTTAAAGACTCAAATAGCTCTGAGAGATAGGAGGGCTTGATAGTCGTTCACACATTGGCATTAACTATTTCAGTCAGTTTGCATTTTTTTTTTTTTAAATACAGAGTTTCACTCTTATTGCCTAGGCTGGAATGCAGTGACATGATCACAGCTCACTACAGTCTCGACCTCCTGGACACAAACAATCCTCCCACCTTAGCCTCCTGAGTAGCACCTGCCACCATCCCTGGCTAACTTTTTTATTTTTCGTAGTAATGGGATCTTGCTATGTTGCCCAGGCTGATCTTGAACTCCTGGGCTCAAGCAATCCTCCTGCCTTGACCTCCCAATGTGCTGCGATTACCATACTTCATCTGGCCAGGTCGCCTTCTTTTTGACACAGATCAGTAGCACCTAAACTCTGAAAGTTTTGGGCAAATTATGTTTAAGAAAAACACTGAGTGCCTCAGGGAAGGCCTTAGACCTTAGGCCAGAGGTTCTGGGAGGAGCAGCCTTAAGCAAAAGAAGAAAATGAAGAAAAGGAGACGGAAGGATTTAAAAATTTAACCTGTTCAACTTCAGATCTTGCATATTGCCAGTTCTAGGCCTCTTATTTTGGAATCCAGAAAATACTGCTGTAAGACAGTCATGAATCTTTTGAGTCTGGCCTGGGAGACCTAAACACCATCATAACATTGTATCAGTTTCGATCACATGAAATAGCAATTTTTTTTTTTGAGATGGAGTCTCCCTCTGTTGCCCAGACTGGAGTGCAGTGGCACGATCTCGGCTTACTGCAACCTCTGCCTCCTGGATTCAAGCGATTCTCCTGCCTCAGCTTCCCAAGTAGTTGGGACTATAGGCACATGCCACCACACCTGGCTAATTTTTGTATTTGTAGTAGAGATGGGGTTTCACCATATTGGCCAGGCTGGTCTCTAACTACTGACCTCATGATCCACCCACCTTGGCCTCCCAAAGTGCTGGGATTACACTGCACCTGGCCTGAAATAGCGGTGTATTCTCCAATGATTCAACCTAGTTTCTATGAGGTATTATTCACAGAAAGTAGAGTGTCCTAAAATCTTCCTTCCTTCCTTCCTTTCTTCCTTTCTTCTTTCCCTCCTTCCTCTGTTTCTTTTCTTTCCTTTCCCCTTCCTTCCTTCCTTGCTTCTCTCCTCCGTCCCCACTGCCCCCCTCTCTCTTGCATCCAGGCTGAAAGTGCAGTGGTCTGATCCCAGCCTGCTGCCCTGACATCTGGGCTCAGGTAATCCTCGCACCTCAGCCTCCTGTGTAGCTGGGACCACAGGTATGTGCCACCATGCCCAGCTTTTTTTTTCTATGCAATGTTGCTCAAGCTACTCTTTTTCCCTTTGTTGTTGTTGTTTATTTCTGTGGGGTTTTTTTGTTGTTGTTGTTTGTTTTTGTTTTTTTGAGACCAACACTTGCTATGTTGCTCAGGCTGGTCTGGAACTCCTTGGCTCAAGTGACTCCCCTGCTCCAGCCTCCTGAGTAGCAGGGACTACAGGCATACACCCCTGAGCCCTGTCTACCCTGAGCCTGGCCTAGAATTGCTTTTTCCAGGAAGCCTTCTATGACCCTCCATATAGCAACCCACCCCATGTCTACATCTGGATTAGGCGTCCTTCTTGTGTAATTTTTTTGTACTATGTAGTCATTATATTGCATTACAATTTTCCCTCTGTATCTCCTACTTTCTGAGATTCTGAGCTCCTCGAATTCAGACACTGTATCTTTTGTCACTGTATCTACAATATTTAACACAGTGCGTGGCACATAGTATACTAAAAGTGGTTGGAACCTAACTCATGCACTAACTGGAATTGTTTGTACTAAGAAATTCAGTCATTCCACTTTCTTCCTCAAAGAATGTTCATAGTTCTCTGCTTCCTAAAACAATCTCAAACACTTCATTCCTAATATTGAAGCATCCTCTATGCTTTCGCTCTAGTGGATCAGTCCCTCTGGTTTCTTATACATATCATACCAGATTCAAACTAGATTCCTATGAATGCCCAATTGGGCTCCATGCATTTCCTCATCTAGCTGTAACTCCCACAGAAATTGCTCTTCTCCAGTCACTGTTTACCCAAATGTAACCCATCCTTCTGGGCCTACCTTACATGCAATCTCTTTAGTAAAACCTTCTTTTTTTTTTTTTGAGATGGAATCTCGCTCTGTTGTCAGTGGCACTGTCTCGGCTCACTGCGACCTCTGCCTCCCAGGTTCAAGCAATTCTTCTGCCTTAGCCTCCCGAGTAGCTGGTACTACAGGTGCACGCCACCACACCCAGCTAATTTTTGTGTTTTTCAGTAGAGATGGGGTTTCACCATATTGGCCAGGATGGTCTTGATCTCTTGACCTTGTGATCTGCCCTTCTTGGCCTCTCAAAGTGCTGGGGTTACAGGATTGAGCCACCGCGCCCAGCACCTTTCCTGCTCTTCTACCTGATGTGAATTCCACTTCTCCTTTCACACTGAGTAAGCTTCTTAAAGACATTCTTGAACAAGTTTGTATCCTTATAGGAGTGTATTAAATTACAGAAACTGGCAAGTCCAAAATCTGCAGGGTAGGTCGGCAAGCTGGACAGTCACAGAAGAATCAGTGCTGAAGTTCAAGTGTGAAGGCCATTAGGCTGGCAGAATTTCTGCTTGCTTAGGGAATGTCAGTCTTTCGCTCTATTAAGGCCTTCAAGTGATTTGATGAGGCCCACCCACATATGGATAGCAAGTTGCTTTATTCAAAGTCCACCAATGAGGCCAGGCACAGTGGCTCTTGGCTGAAATCCCAGTACTTTGGGAGGCGGAGGCGGGTGAATCACTTGAGGTCAGGAGTTTTGAGACCAGCCTGGCCAACAGAGTGAAACCGTGTCTCTATAAAAATACAAAAGTTAGCCAGGCATGATGGTGCAGCCCTGTAATCCCAGCTACTTGGGAGGCTGAGACAAGAGAATCACTTGAACTCGAGAGGCAGAGGTTGCAGTGAGCTGAGACGGTACCGATGCTCACTGGATGTGAGATTCTGTCTCAAAATAAATAAATAAATAAATAAATAAATAAAATAAAACAAAGTCCACCAATGACTATTAATGTCATCCAAAAAACACCTTCATAGAAACATCCAGGATGATGTTTGACCAAATATTCAGGCACCATGATCCAACCAAGTTGACGCATAAAATTAAACACCACAAAGACTAAGTGGGATACCCTGGACATAACAAATGCATTTTATTTCTTTAAGAAGTAATCTATACTTGGCTGGGCGCCGTGGCTCACACCTGTAATCTCAGCAGTTTGGGAGGCTGAAGTGGGCAGATCACTTGAGTCAGGAGTTTGAGACCAGACTGGGCAACATGGTGAAACGCAGTCTCTACTAAAAATACAAAAATTAGCCAGGCAGGGTGGCAGGCACCTGTAATCCCAGCTACTCAGGAGACTTAGGGTGGAAAGAGGTGACAGCCTTAGTTTTAATCAATCACAGCAAAAATAACCTACTTTTGAAATTTCTGCAAAAAAGAAACATGACAACACGAACACATTGCTAAGGCCCCTGCCAGGTGCTTGGAAGACCCCATGCAGGTGAGGAGAGCTGAAGCTAAAGTTTGCTACCTTCAAGAGTATTGCCTCCATCTCTGTCTTCAGCCTGACCTCTTCCACACTTGAGGTCTGATTTTCTAGCTGCTTGCAGACCCCTCTACTTGAACGTCTCTCATATTTCAAACCATTTGGCCTCAAAGACCTTATTCTTCTCCTGACCCATCCCATATCTTTTCCTCTGTTTTTCTGTCTCTGATGTTGGCATCACCATCCACCCAGTTATTTAAGTTAGCAGCTTTAGTTATTTCCTGTTCTGTCCTTTCCCTGCTCCATATCCACTGGATTTATTAGATCTGATTGAGTTTGTACCTGTATTTGCTTCCATTTGGACTGCCGCAAGGGCCTCCTTGCTGTCTCCCTGCCTCTGGTCTCCTCGAATTCATCCCCCACACAGCCGTGGAGCTGTCTTTCTAAAATATGGTAATGACTTCCTCAAGAAGCAAGATAGCGCCGGGCGCGGTGGCTCAAGCCTGTAATCCCAGCACTTTGGGAGGCCGAGGCGGGTGGATCACGAGGTTAAAATGTGGCACATATATACCATGGAATATTATGCAGCAATCAGAAATGATGAGTTTGTGTCGTTTGTAGGGACATGGATGAATCTGGAGAACATCATCCTCAGCAAACTGACACAAGAATAGAAATGAAACACCGCATATTCTCACTCATAGGTGGGTAATGAAAAATGAGAACACATGGACACAGGGAGGGGAGTACTAAACACTGGGGTCTATTGGGGGGAAAAGGGGAGGGCCAGTGGGAGGGGGAGGTGGGGAGGGATAGCCTGGAGAGAAATGCCAAATGTGGGTGAAGGGGAGAAAGGAAGCAAAACACACTGCCATGTGTGTACCTAGGCAACTGTCTTGCATGTTCTGCCCATGTACCCCAAAACCTAAAATGCAATAAAAAATTAAAAAAAAAAAGAGATTGAGACCATCCTGGTCAACATGGTGAAACCCCATCTCTACTAAAAATACAAAAAATTAGCTGGGCATGGTGGCGCATGCCTGTAATCCCAGCTACTCAGGAGGCTGAGGCAGGAGAATTGCCTGAACCCAGGAAGCGGAGGTTGCAGTGAGCCAAGATCAGGCCATTGCACTCCAGCCTGGGCAACAAGAGCGAAACTCCGTCTCAAAAAAAAAAAGAAGCAAGACAGCATGGGCTCTGGAGCTAGCACCCAGGTTTAAATCTTGGCTCTACTGTTTACTACCTGTTTGACTTCAGACAAATTATCTAATCTGTCTATGCCTTAATTTCCTACTTATAAAATGGGAATACTGGCCAGGCAAGGTAGCTCACACTGTAATCCTAGCACTTTGGGAGGCAGAAGAGGACAGATTGCCTGAGCTCAGGAGTTTCAGACCAGCCTGGGCAACATGGCAAAAACTATCTCTACTAAAAATATAAAAAAACTAGCTGGGCATGGTCGTGGGTACCCGTAATGGGAGGCTGAGGCACGAGAATCACTTGAACCTGAGAGGCGGAGGTTGCAGTAAGCTGAGATTGTGCCACTGCGCTTCAGCTTGGGTGACAAAGTGAGACTCTGTCTCAACAAAACAAAACAAAATGAAAAAATAGGGAATAGTTCATACTTCACAGGAGATTTTAACAAATAAATTATAGCATTTCATGGTGTTGAGTATTTGATACATAGAAAGCATTAGTATGTTATTATCAGCATTAATATAGCTTTCCTATAAAAACTTTTGATGGGGCCAGGGTGTTGTCTCATGTCTGTAATTCCAGCACTTTGGGAGGCCAAGGCAGGTGGACCACCTGAGGTTAGGAGTTCGAGACCAGCCTGGACAACATGGTGAAACCCCCTCTCTTCTAAAAATACAAAAACTAGCCAGGTGTGGTGGCGCACACCTGTAATCCCAGCTACTCAGGAGCATGAGGCAGGAGAATTGCTTGAACCCGGGAGGTGGAGGTTGCAGTGATCTGAGATTACTACACCCCAGCCTGGGTGACAGAGTGAGACTCTGTTTAAAAAAAAAAAAAAAAAAAAAAAATGAAAAGAAACTTTTGGTTGTTTCACATATTGGAACAAGACATTCAATAATAATTTTTATGCCTGTAATCCCAGCAGTTTGGGAGGCTGAGGTGTATGGATCACCTGAGGTTGGGAGTTTGAGATCAGCATGACCAGCATGGAGAAACCCTGTCTCTACTAAAAATACAAAGCTAGCCAGGCCTGGTGGCACATGTTAGTAATCCCAGCTACTTGGGAGGCTGAGGCAGGAGAATCGCTTGAACCCGGGAGGCGGCGGTTGTGGTGAGCTAAGATTGTGCCATTGCACTCCAGCCTCAGAAACAAGAGCAAAACTCCATCTCAAAAAATAATATATATCATCATCTTCACGTTGAGACCTCAGTCCCTCTTCCCAGTGTCTGTTCTTACCAAGTCTCTTCCTAGACCTTGTGCTGCAGACACACTTGAAAGCAGGCGGATGCTCCCCAGGCCTTTTGGGTACTCCTGGTTTTTCCTTTGTTGGAAATGTCCTCCTTCCTTTTTCTTTCTCTGGAGAAATCTCAGTCATTCCCCAGGTCCTGATCCAATGTCATCTTCTCTCTGAAGCTTCCTCAAACTCTTTGTCCTCGCTGTATCCTGGTGTTTCTTAATAAACACTGAGCAAAAGGCCTCTGACAAACTCCTCCTCCCGAACTTTCTTTTTCAATTGCCAAAAATGGGGTTTAAATGTTTAAGCCACGATTCTTGCATGCATTCTCTCGTGTAATACTTGTAAAGTACATCTTGGATAATTCCAGGTTTTTACTGGCGTAAATCAGAGAGATCATTCTAGTCATGAATGACGAAGTATGTTTTCCAGGTCATACTACATTCATGCCAGGGACGTGGCATAGCCCATCAACACCATTTGTTTATATGTTACATTTTAAAGAACAATTATAATATTTAGAGAATGTGCACAGAGAAGATATTTCAGTGATCTTAGAGCTTGATTTTCTTGATCTGTAGAGTCAGTTGCTTTTGACTCGATATTCACTCTGGGAATGGAAAAATGGAACTAAAGGTACTAGCAGGCCAGGATCATCAATCAACAGATAACAACTTAGAAAAGATTTTATACTGCCATTTTATGGGAAAAGTTACTTTTTCACCTATTAATTTTTCTATGAAATGGCAATGGAAGAGACCTCTTAAGAATTTGCCTAATTTTTCTGACCATTTTAAAAGAATAAATGTGTTTGTTTGTTTGTCTGTTTGAGATGGAGTCTCGCTCTGTCACCAGGCTGGAGTGCAATGGAGGGATCTCGGCTCACTGCAACCTCTGCCTCCCAGGTTCAAGTGATTCTCCTGCCTCAGTCTCCCAAGTAGCTGGGACTACAGGTGACACTACCATACCCAGCTAGTTTTTGTGCTTTTAGTAGTGATGGTGTTTTGCCATGTTGGCCAGGCTGGTCTTGAACTCCTGACCTCAGGTGATCTGCCCACCTCGGCCTCCCAAAGTTCTGGGATCATAGGTGTGAGCCACCATGCCCAACCTTAAAGAATATATGTTTAATTTATAGTTGAAACCTGGATTAACAGCTCCTGGCTAGTTCTGCTGACAGAGTAAGTTCAGAAACCAAACTCTCACTGAACAATGAGAGCAGTATGTTATTTTTGCTGGTAATGTCCCAGAAACTTAGTGCTATTAACCACAGCTTCATACTCCAGGTTTTTGACTCTTCTGAGGACTCCATCAGCCTACAAGTCTGTTTCTGTGACATTAACAGTAAATCAAGGAGAAATAACAACATGAAAACAAGAATTTCTAAGATTCCTCTTGCATGATTAAGTAGCGGAGCAGGAGAGACAAGATAGGTGGGAGGCTGGCAACTAAATATTCAAGATAAATACTCATATTTTCCTCCCATTCGAGAAGCCAACCATTTTCCCCATTTTTTTTTTTTTTTTTTTTTTTGAGAGGGAGTCTCTCTCTGTTGCCAGGCTGGAGTGCAGTGGTGTGATCTCGGCTCACTGCAATCTTCGCCTCCTGGGTTCAAGTGATTCTCCTGCCTCAGCCTCCTGAGCAGCTGGGATTACAGGCATGCACCACCACACCCAGCTAATTTTTGTATTTTTAGTAGAGACGGGGTTTCACCATGTTGGCCAGGATGGTCTCAATCTCCTGACCTCATAATCTCCTGGCCTCAGCTTCCCAAAGTGCTGGGATTACAGGCATGAGCCATCGTGCTCGGCTCCCCATTCTTTTGTCAATGATATTTCCTTTTATTTTTCCCTACCTCTCCTTCCAACAGCTCTAACCTTTTACTGAAGGATTAGAAATGGATAAATATTCAGTAATCTAGTTCCTGGTTATTTTATGACAGCCAACTTAATTGCCTTTATAATAAATGCTACTTGGACAGGACAAAGGCACTTGTATTCTGTAGGTACCAGCAAGACAGCCTGGAAGAAGCTGGTAATGTAATAGACAGAAATTTATGTGGAGCTACAGACACTTAAGACACTTAAGTTTTCCTGATAGAATAAGGTGAGTTGATGTAAAGAGTGAATATAAAACTCTAATGGTCAAAATAAAGTGATTTTTTAAATCCCAGGGTACACACATGTTTGAAAAATAGTCAAGCATTTACCGAGGTGTTTCTTGAGTAAGCACTTCATAACCACTTGCTAACTGACCTACTTTTTGTTTTTCTTCCCTGTAGCGAGAAAAAAAGCTTTTTAGCTTCTCTGTAACTAAAAAGCTACTCTCAGACAAGGGAAGGAAAGTTGGCTCTTCCCTTGCACAGAGCGGGATGTAATCCCATTTGATTTGTGCTACAGGTGAGCTTTTTCTGGTTCTGCCCTCAGTCTGAGAAAGACTGTGGGAAGAAGCCAGGGAGAGGCTCCCACGGGAAAAGACTGACTCAGGTATCCCAGCCTGTGCCTGGACAAGTGGCAGCGGAGGGAAAACACAGGCTCAGAGGCAGCCCAGCTTTTTCCCTGCTGCTGTCTCTAGGCTCTTCCAAAGGAGTGGATGGACATCTTTCAGGACAGCCTCTGGCTAAACAAACAATCTGATTCTTCTGAAACCCCAGAGTTCATATCTGCCAGAGTTACCTGCATCTCTTACTGTACTTATCATTTTGTACCTGCAAGCTATTTGGGAGCAGGGCTGTGTCCCCACGCATTGTCCCCAGTCACCTTTCCAGGCTCATGTCCCATCCTGCCCTCTCTCACTCCTTTATCTGCATACGTCCTATGTACTGCATACGTTGTGTTCCTTACACTTTCCTTCTATGGTGCTTTTGCTAATTCTCCACTGGATGTGCTTCTTATTCCCGGGTTCATCCATTGCAATCCTATTTAGCTTTCAAATCCCACTTCAGTTCTCATCTCATCAGACTTTGCAGAGTCCTTGGGCTAAAATACATCTCGTTCTCCTTTGTGTTCTCATGGTTGTTTGCCTGGGCTTCTTTGAGACACATGGCTTCTTGTTTGTATTTCTACCGTGCCAGAATCTAAGCTCCTTGTCTTTTCATCCTGTTAATACGGTCTTTCGCAGAGTGAAAGGTTTTAATTTTGACCATGTGCAATTCATCAGTGTTTCTTTTTGTGTGCTTTTGCTGTCAAGTCTGAGAACTCTACACCTGGCTCTAGGTAGGCCCTGAAAATGTTCTTCTATGTGTTTCTCTAAATGTTTTAGAGTTTTATGGTTTG